GCCAATTTCTTCCAGAACTGCGAAACACAGTTTTGCGTACTCAAGTCTCCCTCCCGTTTTCAGCAGTCATCTTTACGCAGCCGTTTTCTGCTAAAAAAGCGCTCATCATCGTTGCACACGGTAGGATCGGATCTAACCATCGCTACTACTGCTGCCATGGCTTACGCAGTGGAATCTCAGGAGCAGCAACGACTCATTGGACAAGCATCACCATGCAGCAGTGCTGGTTACCGTCATCGCGGACTCGACGGCTCGCTGCGCATTTGCGTCGAAGCACTGGATACGGACTATGTAGATCACGTCAGCAGCAGTGATGTAGCGATCGGGAATATCGTGTACTTGGGAGATCGCCGTGTGCCGATAATACCCTGTTACGTGGATGTGACTGCATCGGGCGCGTTGATGGGCTTTCGCTACGCTGTGGACCTGAACGGGGACGAGGACGACGAACGCGGCGGAAACGACGAAGAGTTTATGCAGCGAAGGGAGAAGATTCTCGGAGCACGGAACGGCACTCCTCGCGCTGTTGCGGATGGCCATGGTACGAAGTGCGACATGAATAGATCAACTCACTTTAGAAGCGGTTCCTTGCAGTAATGCGGCGATAGCGAAAACGAGGAATCTGTTGGAAATGCTTCAGTCGTCGGTATACCCAGAAGGCCGTGTACATACGCAATAAAGAGGCTTGCAGAGCAATGTTGGGGGGTTGGGGCTGGCCTGGGAATGACTATTAAAAAGATGTTGATGTATGTATAATCTGACTTCTTTACAGCCAATTTGTTTTGCTCTGAGACACAAAACTGAACACACTAATATGGATTTAAATAATGAGATTGCTCATAAAGTCATGATAGTATGGCGTATGCTTTATGTATGACTTACTACACAGATTCACCTCTGCTTAGGCCGCGTCCCCTCCCTCGATCAGGTGAAGCTGGCAGGCAGGGCTTTCTTTTGGATTTTCACTACTCGGATTTTCAGAGTTGTTTTTTGGGGAACTCTGAAATTCAGGGTTGATCATGAGCGTTACTCTGATTTGTCAGAGAAAACTGAACTTCTGAAAAAAAAACTCAGGACAGTCAGTGTACCAAGAATTTTCAACTCTGAACGTCCTCTCAAGTATTGAACCCACACCTTTCTTGCTCCTACAGAAACCATTACCGTTGTGCTATGCGCTCACCGAACAAGTGGGAGATGCACATATACTATAGATAACTAATTCTGCTTGCCATTTCCAACCAAGTCAAGGGGGGGGGCTCGGTCGAAATTGCTGTACCCTGTACAGAGAAAAATGCATTCGCCAGAAATTTACACTGGTCTATCAGAGTACCTAAAATTAAAACCCTGGCAAATCAGAGAAAACTTAACTTCCAAAAAAAATACCCAGAAACGTCAGAGTGACCCCCCCAAAACCACTCTGATTTTCAGACAAACAGAGTAATTTACTCTGATAAAAAACCCCTGCTGGCAGGTAAAGCAGAGGTGCAAGGGGAGTTTCCAGGAGCTCAGTGGCAAACCGGAAAGGTTCGGCAGTCACGGGCCCACTGGGAGCGTCACAACCAATCACCAGCCAGAGGAACTTGCTTGACATGAGAAGAACAATCTGTCCAATCATGCAACATCCACAGGTTTACTTTGCCCTAACCTGCACCGAACCAAAGGCAAAGCCACCATAGACCATCCGCTTCATACCGAAGCAGTCTCCCAAGAATTTGGTTTCCCAATCTCCCAGGCCTGGACCACACAACAGCCTCGTCTGGCCCTCGTCAGCGCGTGTCACAACTCACAAGTAGCGAATATCCAGTCAGGTGAGTAGCATTACTATCGTACTAAACCGTTCTAAAAGTCTACCTGTGACACGCTCTGAAAGCCCCTAGAGTGTAGGAGATGCTTGCCTGTCCTCTGCACGTAAACTCGCCTCTCATATTTCTGGGAAATGATCAAAGAGGGGCCGTACAGTGCCAGAGAGGTGACCGACCAGGGGCCGAGAGGCCCGGAACTGACCAAACCGCTGCACAAGGGGGGATTAACAGAGTGCTTCATCACGGCTTGCATTTTCGCTCACACCTCAATATTCCTTTGGATATCGTAAAGGATTCGTTTTTTCCACCTGGTAGCGTCGTTTCGCGAGCCAGGTAGCGCTACCGGCGGTACCGACGCTACCGGGAAATGTTAGGGCAGCCTAAAAAAACTAAAACCAATAGGGAACCTGGACGCATTTTTGGGATGGATCAACCCTAAACACGGGAACCCGCCTGATGTTTAGGGTTGATGCCTCCCGAGTCGCATCCTTTTCCGAACGGGTTTTATTTTTTACGTCAGCTAAAGTGATGTATTGTTTTTTCGGAAAACGATTACGCATTTCATTTCTCAAAAATATAAACATGACGAAACCTACTTCCAGAGGAATGCGACGCAAGCTTCGTAATTGGCGGCGATCATAACCGATGAAAACAACATTGAACCAATAGAGTCGAGCTTAGTAATTTCCTTTACATCTTGGTTCGAATTCTCGGACCAACCACGTGGGAAGCCCCGGGGGTATATCCAACGGTTGGGATCAACCCGGCCCTAATTTGGTCACCTCCCTGCTATTGTTCGGCCCCTATTTGATCTTTTCCCCATATTTCTGCATCAGCCGTCATCACCGTGAAATTCCCACCAGCCGTGGTTTCATGCTCGTGTGCGGCAATTCCTATGGCGCTTGTCCTTGTTATGAGATAGCAAATAGCTTGTTACATCCTCCACCCGTCACTGCATCTCGAGATTCTCACTTGTCTAGCCTGTGCGCGGTCCGAAGCATGGATTCGTTGGAATTCCCAGTTTCAAAGTCGGCGCGCTTACTCGTTTTCTGACACTCGTTTTCCCGTGTGCTACTTCGTGCTTGCCCATAACCCGCCACTTACCATTCCGAGGCTAGTACTACTGAGCACGGGTCTAAGGATGTTGGAATACTTTACTCGCGGCTTGCATCAAGCGTTAGACGAGCTCGGAGCACCTTTCTTTCTGTCAGCCATGCATCTACTGTCGTTCGTCACGCTGCCTCTCTTCCTCCCAGCTATCCTCCTTTCCGCCATGGCGACTCTCCTCCTCCCTCTAGCCTCCTCATGGCCCCTCACCTACCTCCGACAGTTTCCGTTAATCGGCCTTCACGTCGACAGCATCGTCATTCTTTTAGGAAAGCTTTCTGATCAGAAATGGTCGAGCGACGCGACGACGATTTTCCGTAACCTGTCCACGTCTTCGCCGGCTGGCGAAAGCCTTCGCAACCGGCGCACGCGATCCTGGGACAAATTTCTAACAGATAACATTTCTGCTACCATCCGTCCTCTCCAAACAACTGGATCTGGTTCTAATCCCGACCCTTCTTCTTCTTCTTCCGTGGAACGCGCTTTGTGTCAGTCGCTCTGCTTGATGACCGACCTTCCGTCCAGCTCACCCAAGTACGGATTCATCCGGAGCGTCGCGGAGGAGCTTCTGCGAGCAAACGACAGCTCCAAGGATCTTAATCTCTCCGAAGCCAATCGACGAGCGCTCCTCCAGGCGTTTTCCCGGACCATTTCTCGCCTCGAGAGCTCCCTGAAACGCGGACAGGCGTCGTCGTTTGGTCTGACCCATATTCTGGATCAGGTTTCCCGCGGCGCGGCTGCTGCTGCTGCAGTGGCGGTCGCCGCAAGCGGCGGGGGAGGCGGAATCAACGGAAGCAGCAGAAATGGGGAAATTCCGCGGATATCAGGGGGAAATGGCGTGGAGAATGCTCAAGCGGAGAAGCTGTCTCAGGAGCTGTTGTGGCTGGTGCTGAAGCTTCAGGGTCGGAAGGGAATTGAACAAGTGGTGGAGGTTTGGGCGGAGGCTCGGGTTTTGTCTGAGCTGGCAGTACGATCTTCGCCACGTGTGCAGCTGAATCTTCTGAAGCTAACGTGTATTGTCCTGGATTTGGTCTCTTCCCACGTGGTGTCATGTGATGTGAAGTCGCAAGAGCACCTGCTGCTGCACTGGATGCCGTTGCTTTGTCAGTGTCCAAACACATCTGACGGCCTGCTCTCTACTGACAGTAACCGACAGGTACGCCTGCTTTCACATGGGCTTTCTGATAAGATATCAATTTCTGGAACCTCTCTCACCACTCCTTTCCCAAATTTTGATATTTTTCAATCTGTTCTTGGTCCCTGGATTTCTTACGCTTCCTCTTGACGTTTGCCTGGATCCCTGCTTCACTTCCTCCTTGCGCTTGCACGTACCCTTCTTCCCTATCCCTGTACATGCGTCTGATTCTAATTCTACTGGTCTCTTATTTGGTCTGTCTTGAACAGAGGACGGAGGAGGACATGTGCTCAATTATCACTCGCCTGCCTGCTGCAAGCCAGGAGCTGGTGTACGTGGCATGGCTGCATGAGTACACGTGGTCAACCTCTGATTGGCCAAACCTGCACCCTGCCTTCCTCACCTGGTGTGATACCTCCCGGTCTAACCCTGACCAAGCTACCACTAACCATGGTGAAGCGAGCCAAGCCTTGCAGCAATCCTCTCTCAGCGTTTAGATTTTAACCCTGATTTTGGACTGACATGTATACATAAAGTGGTACCCTGAGTTTAGGAGGGCACGATGTGCATCAGCGTTTATGGTGTGTCAGCTTGTTACTGTAAATTTGGTGTAAAATGCTGTGGTCAATTCAATAGTCTCCTCGGTTTAGAAGTGGTCATACATACCATACTGGATGTACCACATCATTGCTATTGGGATCACACCAGCTAGGTAGATATATTTTTCCACTGGAAGTATAGTAAGAACACCTCCTAAATACTTCCTCCTCCTATCCAACTCAGCTACACTGACAATGGCATAGAAATAGTGAGGCCACTCAGACCACTGGAGGCCATTTTAGGTCTCCCTTCCTGTGGTGTACCGTACCATAGTTAGCATGGCACGAATCCCATTGTTAATGCAGGGGTCGAGTGCTGAAGACGTGGTAACAGTTACATAGACTTGGATGGAAGGATCAGCCTCCCAATGGCATCGGTGAGGGAGCGGAAGCTGGCGCCATGGGGATTGGGTCATCTGGGTCCTCTGATAGGGTGGAGCATGGGGAAGAAGAGACGCAGAAAAATATGCAAGGGAGAAGTTTGAAGGCCTCAGAGAGTAATTTTATCAGAGAGTACAGAAAACAGAGAGTAAAGTGACGAGAGAATATGATAAACATAGCGTTCACTGTACGGAACGGACAGTACAGTAAACATACCAATATCGTTGTGCACATAGAAACTGGCGGCGACGATTAGATAGCTCAGCACCAGCATGATGCCCTTGAAAATAATTGCTCTCCCTCCTGCACACCGGGCAGACAAAAGGCACGTGATGGAGGGGAGTCGGGCAGATAAAAGAGGTTGCACGGAGGGAAGTTGGGCAGACGAAACAAAAGGGATGTAAGTAAAGGGCATGTCAATCAAGCTGTCTCGAATCAATGGTTGAAGCAACATTGACCCAACAGGCACAACAGAAGGTGTGGAAGGGGATCTGCTCAAAAGGGTAGGGGTAGGTGTGGAAGGGGATCTGCTCAGAAAGGCCCACTGGCACTCCCATGGCCCACCCCACCACCACACACAAGGGCATCTGCAGGCACCGACGGGAGGAAAAGAAGCGATAGGATAGGATGGGAAGCGCAGGGGCAGAGACAGGAGTGTGTTGGAAGGCAGGTAGAAGAAAGGCCCACTGGCACTCCCATGGCCCACCCCACCACCACACACAAGGGCATCTGCAGGCCAGGAAGGGGGAAGAGAAGGAGTAAGGGAGTGGGAGGTGGGGTTTGTGAGGAGGGAGGTGGGATGAGAGTGGCAGTCAGAAGCATCAGCCCTAGGTTCCATGTAGATGCAGCACTGGTGCTGGGTTGGTCGGTAACCCACAAAGAACATGGCGATTTGGGTGGAGGAGCCAATGGCAACCCCAAGGGAGATATTCTGTAGAGAAGAGCAGATTGTGAATGTAGTAACAGAGGGTGGTGAGATAAGAAAATTGAGTGTAGAGAACTGTGGATGGGGATAAGTAGTTGAGTGTGGAGGAAAACCATTTGCACCACATGACTCGGGCACCAACATTTCTATACCTTCGAACCTGCTTGCCCCCAACGTTTATTTCACTAGGCACTCCCTCCTCTGACCAACCCTGCTTCCCTCCTCCACCACCAACCCTCTCTCCTGCCACTGCCACTCGCACCCGCCACAACCTCTGCCCTCCCTACGCACCACTTTATCCTTTGCAGCGAACATGATGGCTGAAGCATGCTCGGCTGCATTGCCAACGATGGGAAGGATGGATGATGACGCTGATGAACGCCACCGGGATGTCCCACGCGTCCGCTGCTCCCTGGTGTTGGGGATAACAGTGCGGTGGAGAGGGGTGACAATGCAGGAAGCGCAGGGAAAAATGCTGATGAAGGCCACCGGGATGTCCCACGCGTCCGCTGCTCCCTGGGAAAGGGGGGGGGAGGGGAGCAGGGAACAGGGCGCGGAAGCGGAGAGGAGAGCAGCAGTCCAGGGGAGAGGGTGGGTCAACAACACAGCACAGCAGCACTGCTGACGATGGGCAGGATGATGACGCTGATGAACGCCACCGGGATGTCCCACGCGTCCGCTGCTCCCTTTTGAGGGGGGAGGCGGAGAGGGAGCAGTGCGGAGGGGTGAAAAACATTGCAGGGGGTCGGGAGCATGGAGGAACAGTGAAGATTAGTGGGGGGGAAAGGCGGGTCAACAGCACAGCAGCATTGGAGGAGGGCAGAGCCGATGAAACGCCCATTGTAGTGTACCTCGGTATAGTGTACCTCGGTATAGTGTACCTCGGTATAGTGTACCTCGGTATAGTGTACCTTAGTACAGTGTACTCGGTATGGGCATCTCAATATATACATACAACGTACCCCGATAGCATCTACAAGGTAATCGGAGAGGGTGGAGATGAAAACGGTAATGACGCCACAAGGCGACTGCGTGCTTGGACAATTCAATGTAGTGCACCTCGGTTTTCGGGTACAGTGGTATAGGGTATCCCAATACATACGACATACCTCAATAGCGTCAACAAGGTATTCAGAGAGGATGGAGATGAAGATTGTGATGACGCCCATCCTATCCACACGAGCGCTCCCCAGAACCCCAGCACCTGCTCCTCCTCCTCATCGTCGCCCCCATCCTCTCCCTCCTGGAGAAAGGGGAAGGAGCGGAAGGGGAAGGAAGGAGGAAGGAGGAAGGGAGGAAAGCGATCACCATGACGCTGCTAAAGCGACTGACACTCTCAGGGTACAATACTGCAATTTCATTGTGCACTGCACTCACATCAACGTATAGGTGCGAGTGCGTTTTCAACTGGAAGTAGAGGTAGCAGGCGTAGGCCACGAGCATCATGACGCTGCTGAAGCGCCACACACTATCTCTCAGTGTACACTCATCGCGCACCGCACGCGCGCGCGGCACACATGACTCACAGGCGTAGGCCACGAGCATCATGACGCTGCTGAAGCGCGAGAGAGCGAGTGTGCTGTCCCTCTCGTGCAGCTCCGTGTGTGTCGACTGCAGCACTGCCGGTGCCGTCAGGCCCATCACTGCCATCAGCAGCAGGCAGGAGTTTACGAGAGCGGCAGTCTGTTAAGGGGCGTGGTAGAAGACGGGGGTGAGGTAGAGGAGAGAGGGGGGGACGGACGGAGGAGAGGGAGAAGAAGAAGGTGTGAAACGGATAGCACATGACTGGACAAGGGATGAGAGGAGGGAGAGAGTGAGAGAGCGAGCGTGCTTTCCCTCTCTTGTGCAGCTCTGTGTGTGCGACTGCAGCACTGCCGGGGCTGTCAAGCCCATCAATGCCATCAGCAGCAGCGCTGCCGGTGTTGAGTTGACTGCAGCACTGACGACGCTGTGAGACCACCATCAGGAGGGAGGAGATACACACAGATGGTGTGTATCTATGTGTATTACAGATACACACAGATGGTGTGTATCTATGTGTATTACAGATACACACAACACTGACGGCACACACAGATATACGCACTCCCCCCTTCCCCACCCCCTCCCCCACTCTTCACCCAATTGAGCTGCTGCTCGCGGTATCTCGTTCATTTCTGGCAGAGGCATGCTCTCTCCTTTTCCTCCTCTCGGCCCAAACTGCCCCAACCACATCTTTCCCACCTTGTTGAATGTCTGCTCGCGATAGCGCAGCCCCCCGGCGTAGAAGGCACAGCCGAGCACGAGCAGCATGTTGGAGAGAATGGAGCCCAGCAGGCTCATCTGCACCACGCGGATCAGCCCGTTCTGCAGCGCGAAGATCGATATGATGAGCTCCGTTGTATTGCCAAAGGTGGCGTTAAGTAGGCCTCCCACTGGTGATGGGTCGGTTATTGCAGCTCAATTTGGGTCGGTTTCTGAGCCGCCTGCTACTTTCGCGGAGCTGCTTTACTGAGTTTCGGACAGAGTCTTTTCTGCGCGATAGAACCTGCTAGCTCAATTCTGTGGTCGAGCAATCAGATCGATCAGCGAGACGGATGAGCAATCACATGCTGCTCTTCCGTACCCTCTAACCCTGTCATCACATGAGCAGGACTAAAACGATCAATGCTGGATTCCCTTGTCAAAACAAGGAAAGCCGGAACTTGATGGGAAAAGGGTGTCGGTGTCGGAGAATTGTGTCTAATTACGGGCTGACGGATGGATGGATGAAGGGAGGGAGATTGTCGCTTCCGTGATAAGCGGTAGATTGCGAAGGTGTGTTTACCAAAAAGAGATTTCAGATTTCGAGACCCCGCTGGGCTTTCCTTCATTGTCAACTTGGAAGGTGCGGAATGGTGACGGTGAGAAAGTGAAACGGGGTTGAAATGATTTATCGTTTGAACACTCCGTTTCGATGGTTTTCCACAGCACCTGACCCGAACATGGCTACGGGAAAGTCCCCATGTGCCCAAGACTTCGGAAGTTGGTGGGGATTTCTGCGGGAAAGGAGACCCCGCCAAACTTGTCGCTGCTCCCTTATTTGTTCTTGGACCAGCCCGAAATCTCCAAGGATCAGAGCTTCTGCGGTCAACCCAGTACACGTGGCCAACAGTAGTTTCGAACAAAATCCTACCATGTCACTGCTTCGTGCAATTGTTCTGCTGACCCCAACCTTACAACTCTTACGGGTTGCGTATATGGCGTACAATTATTCACCACTTCCATCATCAACGGTTTTGTTGACAACTGCATCTACGATCCATTTAGTACGGTGTAATACGTCGCAGAATATAGAGACTTCGTTTTCGTACGGTTCGGTAGTGCTGGATCAGGCTACCGAGGCACCATGCTCCCCCCCTAACTGGATCAGGCTACCAAGGCACCATGCTCGCGGGAGGTGCTTCTCGAGTCGAAGCCAAATTTCTTGAATCCATAGTTCGTCATGCATGCATTCATGAGGACTACGCGAAGCTGCCTTGCATGCGGTCGTGACAGTGGCAGGTCGACGTTTGCCGTGTATGAATTCGTGACGTTACAAGATGACATTCGACTTCTAGAAGCTCAGGCGAAATTTGCCCAGCCGTCCATGGATACGGAGCAACAGCCGCAGAGAAAATGGGCAGTTCAACCCAATTTCTCCCAACTCACATCGAGAATCTCCCAATGTCTTTCTACTATACCGTGAGATCCGTCTTAAATCTGTTTTCTCATAACGCACATTTTCACATAATCATACACATCGCAAAACAGGGGGGAGGGGATTGTGACATGCGCGAATCTTGTTTGCATCTTCCTCGTCTTTCAGGGGTTGGGAATCATGCGAGAATGTTGCTCGCATGATTCGTGGGAGTGTTGTTAGGGTGTTGCGTGTTTTTCGAAGTGGTGCGCGTGTTTCTGGGCACTTGAAGTCAACTCCGCAGGCCCAGCTGGATGGTTTCGTGGTAGCAAACTGTTCATCGCGCTTTTCATATTTCATGAAGTTGTAACAAACAGGGCTATTAAACTTAAATTGGTAATGTTACATTTTTTTGTCAACCCGCTTGGTATTATAATTCGGTGGATAATGAGATATTCGTGAAACAAATATCTTGCCAATGCTAGTGTAAACATTGCCAATATCTTGCCAATGCCTTTTGTGCAAAATTTTATTATATTATTTACTTTTTGACACGTTTTCTAAAATTATTAAATACTTGGTCGTAGTTGATGTATCACCATTCTTGTATATAATTGTGTTTTTAGCATTTTATAATCACACAATAAATTACTTCAGTCTATTCCCTATCCACAGGAACTGGATTGAGCTCGTTCGCCCAACTACACAGCTCGTGACGCTCGTTTGTGCGTTCGACGGCATGAATCTATGCAATGATAGGCCTGTGCGCAACACGTCACCGTTTCAACGTCTGTATGCTTTTGTTTGTCAGATTTATATGACAGAGCTACTGTAGGCTATAGTGGGGTAGCACATATGGGGTACAGTTTTCTAGGGTTTGCATTTTGTACCCAACTTTCCCTTAGTCATCTCATTCCTCGTTTCTTCTCATGGTATCGAGCAGGTTCCCTAGTGGGAACGATTCCTAGGGCCCACCACCACGAAATTTTTTTTTTTCCTGCCCGGAGCGCGCTTCGCTCAGGCCCGAGTCGCGCCCTGGGTGCTCCCCCCCTACCGTCGCGCCCTCGCTAGGCCCCTCACGGCCCCGTCGCGTCGCCTTTAGCGGCCCCCTCACGGCTCGTCGCGCCGCCCCTTACGGCCCTTCGTGCCGCCCTTACGGCCCGTCGCGCCCGTCGCGCCGCCCTTACGGCCCCTCGTGCCGCCCCTTACGGCCCCTCGCGCCGTCCCTTACGGCCCCTCGCGCGGCCCCTTACGCCCCTTACGGCCCCTCGCGCGGCCCCTCACGGCCCCCCCTACGGCTCGTCGCCGCCCTCCGCGGCCCCGCCACCTACCTGTGCGGCCCCACCACCTACCTGTACGGCCCCGCCACCTACCTGCGGCCCCGCCACCTACTAGCGGCCCCGCCACCTACCTGCGGCCCCGCCACCTACTAGCGGCCCCGCCACCTACCTGCGGCCCCGCCACCTACCTGCGGCCCCGCCACCTCCTAGCGGCCCCGCCACCTACCTGCGGCCCTGCCACCTACCAGCGGCCCCGCCACCTACCCGCGGCCCCGCCACCTACCTGTGCTGGCCCCGCCACCTACCTGCGGCCCCGCCACCTACCAGCGGCCCCGCCACCTACCGGCGGCCCCGCCACCTACTAGCGGCCCCGCCACCTACCTGCGGCCCCGCCGCCTCCTCTCAACGGCCTCGCCGCCTCCTCCCAGCGGCCCCGGGCGCCGCCCTCTCAGCGAGCAGCCGAGCCGCCCAGCAGCCGAGCCGCCCAGAAGCCGAGCCGCCGAGCCGCCCAGCAGCCGAGCCGCCCAGCAGCCGAGCCGCCGAGCCGCCCAGCAGCCGCGCTGCCGAGCCGCCCTGCAGCCGAGCCGCCGAGCAGCCGAGCCGCCGAGCCGCCCTGCAACCGAGCCACCCGAGCCGCCCTGTCCGGTAAGAACAGCGCCTCTTTAACAGCACTGCCCTCACCCTACTGTTTGCGCTGCTAGTCTACTGCTGTCATGGCTACCCCTAGTGTCCTCGCTTTTGATGCTGAGGGTCGGGCCATTGACTTTGACGTCTGGATAGATGACCTGCAGCTTTTCTTACAGTGTGACAGAGCAGACGGCCTCTCCCTCTTTGACCTCACTTCTGGTGCCTCCCCTGCCCCCGCTGCTGATGCTGACGCCACTGTTCGCTCACAGTGGGCCACGCGCGATGCTGCTGCACGTCTTGCTGTGCGTCGCCACCTGCCTACCTCTGAGCGTGCGCACTTTAGCCAGTACAAGAGTGCTCACACCTTGTACGACGCTGTAGTTGCGCGCTACTGCTCCACTGCCACTGCTGCACTGAGCCGCCTCATGCTACCGTACCTCTTCCCTGACCTTGCTGCCTTTCCCACAGTCGCTGACCTCATTACGCACCTCCGCACTAGTGACACTCGCTACCGCGCTGCGCTTCCTGCTGAGTTCTGCGCCAAGAACCCCCCCCCCCCATGTACATCACCCTCTACTACATAGTCACACGGCTCCCTGACTCCCTTCGCGTAGTCAGGGACCACTTCCTCTCAGTTTGCCCCACCACTCTCACCGTTGACCTCCTCGAGAAGTCCCTCCTAGCAGCAGAGAAGAGCATAGTCGCTGTAGGAGCCTCTCGTGGTGACCCTCGCACCCCCATCTTTGAGGGGTGTTCCCCCTCCCCCCTTTTGCCCTCTGTTGCCTCTGCTGCTGCGGCCGACCTCGTTGGGCTTGAGTCGGTCGGTGTGGCGTCTACCCCTAGCGGGAGACACCGCCCTGGCAAGGGCAAGGGGGGCAGGGGCACTGGAGGAGCTAGCGGGGGCGGTGGAGGCGGCGGTGGAGGCAGTGGAGGGGGTGGGGGTGGCGGTGGGGGTGGTGGTGGGGGTGGAGGTGTCGGTGGCGGCGGTGGAGGCGGAGGCGGCGGCGGCGGTGGCGGTGGGAGCGGAGGTGGCGGCGGTGGAGGAGGCGGCGGCGGAGGAGGTGGAGCTGGTCGGGGTGGCGCTGCGCAGAGGGTTGGCTCCGGTGGTGGTCAGCGCCAGCAGCAGCAGCAGCAGCAGCAGCAGCAGCAGCGCACTCGTGACATCCCCCCCCCTCAGCAGCTCCGTGAGTGGTACGCTGCACGCCAGCGGGGTGGGGGTACTGGTCCGTGCACCTACGTCCTCCGCACCGGCGACCGCGCGGGTGACCAGTGCGGGGGGGCGCACTCCACCCAGCGCTGCTTTGGCCGCCTGACGGACGCTTGGCGTCACCAGTTCCCTGAGGCCACTGAGATCCCCCGCTGGGGTGAGCTGTCGGCGGGTGTCGCTGTCTTTGACCTTGACTTTGATGCTATTCTTGC